AAAAGAAGAAAAGAAAAGAGAAAAGAGAAAGAAAGAAAGAAAAGAAAAAAGAAAAGGAGGGGAAATGGGGATACACTGACTGATTGGGAACATGAGAGCAGGTAAACTTAAAACAAGGATCAATAAGGATCAAGCGAGATTTGATAAAGGTTCAACACAGAAACAAATTGTCCATCTTGTCCTCTATTTTACACCCAAAAAAAGGCTTTTAAATCAAATTAAATGAGAATTTTTAACTGCTGGAAGGAAACAGAGCTTCCAAGTAGTGTACAGACACCACAGCCGGTGGCACAGTGAGACACTGGGTGGATTTAGAGGGTTGAAACGCCTCAAAACGCCTTAAAACGGCTCAAAACGCCTTAAAACGGCCCTGCGTTGCTCAAATCCTCCCTGACAGGAACGGGGGAGGGGCCGCACGCGGAGGCGGCGGCGCCATTTTGTCCGCGCGCGGCCACCGTCGCGCCCAGCTCACCGCGGGTTGCTATGGCGGCGGGCGGGCCGCGGCGGCGCTGAGCGCGCGGGAACGGGCCCCGGGGCCCCCCCCGATCCCTTCCGGTCCCGCCATGGAGGACGAGCTCTACCTGGAGAACATCGACGAGTTCGTCACCGACCAGAACCGCATCGTGAGGCCGGGGGGCAGTTTGGGGTGGGGGGCGCGTAAGTTGGGGTCGGTCGAGGGGGGGGGGAAAACGGCCTAACGGGCCCTCTGCGCATGCGCAACTGCCCCCCCACTCCCCATTTAGGGTTTTATGGGGGGAGGTTGAAGAGTTGGACTTATTTTTTTGTAAAAAAGCCAATTTTGAGAGGTTTTATGAAGGAAGAGTGTGAGATTTTCCTACCAAATTTTTGTATTCCCTCTTATTTATTCCCTCTTACTTATTTTTTTACAGGTCACGTACAAATGGCTGAGTTACACCCTGGGGGTGCACGTCAACCAGGCTAAACAGTAGGTATCCCCCCTGCAAACCCTTTGGCTAYGCGCAAAACCTTAATTATTTCCTGTTTTCTCACCTGTGATGAACACAAAAAAAAAAAAATTAAAAAAAAAAAATAAACAGGCCCTTAGGATATATTTAAGAATCTTGCACGCCCTCTCAGCTATCGTTGTTAATGTTATTTAACCCGCCTCACACACTCCTCCCAGAGGCAGCRCTTGCCTTGAGTTTAATGAGTGTTGTGGTTTATAGAAAACCTAATTAGTCTTCTCTGATTACCCTGCTGCTTAGTGTGGGCACTGTTATAAATAGGTGTCTCTCAGGCTTGGTAATGAGGGTAGCTGAATATCTGAAATATGAAGGGAAGTCAGGTGTGTTGTCAGAATATTTTTACCTCTCCAGATTTTACCAAAATTGTAGCCCTTTCTTTGTGTATTTCAAGAAATAGAAATTACTGAATTTCTTTTACAGAATCCTCTAAAGGTGAGTGTTGTTACAAGGAGCTCTGGAGGATTCAGAGGCTGTTTCTACAGAGCCAGGGCACTTTAAGCATGAGACCTGTGGCTCTCATAAGCTTTTCAAGTGCCACAACACAAATATTTTTCTCACGTAGTTTCTGGCTAAAGCTTAGACTAAAAAGGGGGGGGTGCACATGACAGCCATGTGCTAAGTGTGGCATCCTCCTTCTCCTCCAAACCACCTAAACATCAGCTTGAGCATCTAGTGTAGTGAGGAGATGGTTTGGGCTGGAGCACAGACCTTATGAGGAGCAGCTGGGAGAGCTGGAGTTACTTAATCTGGAGAAGAGGAGGTTCAGAGGAGACCTCATTGCTCTCTACAGCTGCCTGAAGGGAGGTTCTAGTGAGATAGGAGTCCATCTCTGCTCCAGAATAACTGCAGAGAGAATTAGAGGAAAGTTCCTCTAGTTTTYGGTCACTCCATCAGTAGACCTAATTGGGTTTACATATATGCACCTGTCAATGTGATCATGTACCAAAATCACCAATATTGAGACCATTTTGAACCACCATTCAGAGCTTTGAGAGCTTGCATTCGTTTCTCCTGCAATTTATAGAGTTGCTGGAGTGTCGGGTTCTCCAACGCGGCGGATGAGGAAGATGTCTCATTAAGGTTCAGTTTAACACACTTATGTTAACCAGGATTAATTTATGCAAAATTTTTCCATATCAGGCTCAGGTTTTGCTCATYTTATCTTTTGCCCGTGTCCAGTGTAACTTTAAGCTACACTGAGGGAGTGCTGATGGGCTCTCTCTCTTTCATGCTCTTGACGCTGGTGTCTCTTGTTGCGCAGGATGTTGTATGATTATGTCGAAAGGAAACGAAAGGAGAATTCSGGAGCTCAGCTTCACGTCACCTACTTCGTTGCAGGAAATCTCATTCAGAATGGATATACTGTGAGTGCTTTATTTCTCAAAGTGTCTGTGAGCTCTTTTGTTTTTATTCTTCTCTCTTTGTTTTGTAATCTGAGCTCAAAAGCTGAAGAACTTGCTGTCTTTTTCCAGGAACAGGCAGGGTGTCTTATATACCTGTAGGAAAGACAGTGCTACTTCGGTCTGAAAACACAAATGACAATAAGATGAACTGATTATGATATGACAATACAGTGTTGAGTAACACRTCAGGGTTTTATTTAATTGATTTAAATCCTTTCCCCAATTATTTCTCAATCCTATCATTGTTTTTAGACAGCAAGTTTCAGAAAACAGTCTGGAAGGGCCCTTGTGAAGTCAGCTAATCCCTTTGCTAGGATATGCAGWTTTATTACATGTCTAGAGACCTTGTCATTCAGTTAAAGTTAAATACTACAAGTTTTCTAAYCAGGTGTATGAGTGAAATTTACCTTTGTCAATCATATTTTCTTTTTAAAATGAGTTTGATTATTAAGCAAATTAATTAAGTTGCTAGATGTAAAGAACATATTTGTTGTTTGCTGCTTGTCAAGACTACCCAAAATGTCCTCGGAAATTTCAAACCAATACCCCAAGTGGTTTTGAAAGATAAGAAGCAAATTCAGTGCCTTTGCCCTCCTGAGGATTTAATAACCAAACACTAAATACCTTTGATATTCAGCTGACTATCTGCCTGRGTCTTTAGATACACAAATATCTCATATAGTGCAGTCCATAACCTTCCTTTAGAGTTAGTGTATCTTGGACTTTAGTCCTGGCCTTTAGTTGTAGATGTAAAGATTGTTTTTCTTATTCTTAATTAATAAGGCAGTCCACCTGTATAGAATGTTCTGTTTACATCTCCAAATTAACCTGGGACTGAAAGTAATTATTTATTGCGTTAGTTCTGTACAATGGAATATATTTGTTTGCTAATATGCAGATGCTGTTAGGTTTAGAGTATAAAATAACCTTGGAGGTTTCCAATTATTTCCCTTGGAAATAGCAAAGTAGACCGTTTTGTTGATGAACTTTTGTTGGTTTTGGTTTTGTGTTTTTTAATTTGCCATAATGTATTCAAAGCAAATAAAGTAATGAAAAATCTTGATACAGATATTTTTACCTTCAATCTTAGCAATTTCCATATCTTTATTTTTTTAAATAAGAAAAAGGCCAACCTACAAAACTAAAAAATTAAAGTCTGATCTTTTTTTTTTTTTTCTGCCTGTAAAGCTCTTATTTTTGAGTGCTACATTATATTTTAAAAAATAAATTCTGAGTAGCGGCTCAGGAAAATGACCTGCAGTGGCAGCTGGTTTTTAGGGGCAGCAATGAAGCAATGCAGAGGTCAAGAATAACTGCACAGGAAGAGCTTAAAGCTCTCCAGACCCGAGTGTCTAACCAGTAACCAGGGTGGCTGCGAGGAAAATTGAAATCTTTGAGACATTTCTGGAAGATATTTGGGTGTTTGGAGTAACAGACAGGTAATACATGGCCTAAATCAGTTAGTGGGGAGGAAATAAATCCTAAAGCTTCCAAGCAAGCCCTGTTCCTGRTGTTAATCCTGCACTACTGGCTGCCGACGGTAGGTGTAGCCACAAGGCTGTGGATTCAACTGCAAGATTCATCTGAAAGGAGATGCTAAAAGAAAGTTGTCCYAAGTAGTTTCCAGGGTGTCTCAAGCCCTAGGAACACTTTGGTTTTCTCTTCATTATTTCTTTTTGCCCTGCTCAGTGAGGGAATGAAGCACTTGGTCTTTCTTTACTCTTTAAATTTGGCTCCTTTTTCTTGCTCTTGGTGACTAATCTGTGGTATCACTTAAGCACAAAGTTAATGGATGAAGATTTTCCAGCCTGTCTGTTCAGATACTCTCCATATCAACTGCAACCTGTGGAATACCATAGATAAGGTGCAGTCCTTGAAGGCTGAAGAAATTTTGTGCTTTGGAAACACACAATATTTCTGGAAACATTCATTTCTGATTTTTAAAATTAATGCTTAATTTCTCACTGTCTTGCTTCTGATAGTCCTGTCTGTGTTTAAAATTCACAGGCAATCTAAAGTGTATATGGCTGGCATGGACTGGCACATTGAATTTGAAGCTTTTTTGTTATTATTCTGGTTTTCACCTCCCAGTGTGAGAACTAGAAGGTAGAATAGTTCTTTAATGCTGTAATCCTCTGTGAAATAATGCCCTAGAAAAGTAGGAAGACAGATTTAAAAACTAGTAGCAGATGATCAAGAGTATTGGCACCATTCTGTGCAACTACAAAGCTGCACCTATAACCTGTAGGCTTTATTATTCAGTAGATCATTTGAAATACCACCTCTATGCAGATCTTTTAAAAATTTAAGATTGAAATTATTTTTCTAGATAATACACACTTTCTTTTCTTCTTCGTCTTTAGTGCCACAAGATTGCAGTAGTGAGAGAGGATAAACTGGAAGGTAAGATCCTGAAAATCCTGCATTTGGGAGCTTTTTTCTTTGAAAGAACTGCAAAGCGAGTGAAGTTCAGAGCTAGCCATCTGCCCAGAAATGCCCAATGAAATTGCTGGGTTCAGCTGCTTACTCCTGGTACTAGGATTTTCTTCAAACTTTGAAAATATGAACCAGCATCTGTGCAACTTCACAAATGTGTCATTTGGGCTTGATTTTTACCTTGCATCTTTCAGTCTGTGACAATTGTTATCCACCTTCCTGCCACTGGCGGGCAGCTCGTCCTTAAAGATTTTAGAAATTTAAAATGAATCTCTAGCTCTTGAGAAGTATAGTAGACTGTCAAGCAGTGTAACTACTATGTCATGTTTGCTGAATTATGTGGGCTGTGTAATGTTCTGTTTTGCTTTGGAGAGGAGGATTGTCCRTGTTTTTTGTATTAGAAGACAGGCCAGAGGTATGACTTACATTTGGAAGAGGCTGAAGTTTGTGATGGAAGGAGAGCTGCATAGTCTAGGACTGGCCCCAAGTAGTTATTACTGTGTGTATTTTTACAGTACCTAGAAACTCTGTCTGAGAGCAGCACTCTGTGCAAAGAACAATATAAGCAGTGATCTAAGAAATGCTAAAACAGCCCTTGTGTCAAGGGGGTTACAGTTGAAACAGCATAAAATAGACAAAACATCAATGTGGGCAGACTGCTCTGGAAGACACTGGGGCAGTATTGGTTGCTGCTGTGGATGTTTTGCCTTTTCTGCCCTTTTTGGTAGAGGATAGTGTTAAAATTGCTCCCTGCCTGTAAAGTCTGTGCTCACAAAGGGCTTCCTTCTCATTTGCCACCAGCAATGAAGTCCAAACTCGCCACGCTCGCGAGCGTGCACGTCTACAGCGTCCAGAAAGCCTTGCTCAAGGACAGCGGGCCCCTCTACAACACGGATTATGATATTGTCAAAGCCAACCTGCACAACTGCAGCAAGTAAGTTGCATCCTGCCTTTCTTCTTGCACGAGGTGAATTTTAGAGTGGTGACGTGTTGCTGCGTTGCACACTTGGGCAGCAGAAATCAAGAGGTGCCAAATAATTGTGGACTCCTAGAAGACTAGAAAAAGATTCCTTGTAGGTCATGTCAGATTAGACTTTGGGCAAATGTACCGTGTGGTTGTCCTGTAACCTCACCAGTTTCCAGCTTTCATTTGTCCTGCTACTCCAAATGGCAGTTTGTTTCAAAACCTATGTTCTCAGATGGCTTTTTTTTTTTTTTCTGGGCTACGTTTAATTATGACCAGTTTARATCCAGTTTTCTATCACACGCATTTCAGTGTCAGAGAAAACTGRAATTCTTATAAAAATATGAAGTGATTTGTTCAATAAATGGCTCACCCAAGTCTTCTGTTTTGTGAGATTGCTCTTTCATGCCCTGAGCTCTTTTTCTSTAAAGATGCACATGGAGAAAGATCCTGCAAGGTAAGACAAGAGTCTGGAGCCTAGGGGCAAGATGCAGAATAGATAGTGACACAAATATCTTTCMTGGTTGACCTAGAGAAATATTAACGTAGAATTAAGAGGGACCTTGGTCTCCAGAGCTCATTGACTCTTCTGGATGGTGGCTAGCAACTGTGGCCACCACTAGTGCAGTTCTCTGGTGTAAACATCTGCCTGTGAKGGACTGAGATCATCAAGCAGCTGTTGAGCAGGGGCACCTCATCCGACCTCTGAGCTCATTGCTGTCCCCACTGTTAGATCTTTTATGCCCCCTCTTTTTTCGTACAGAGGTGTTCCCACTAGGACAGCTTCAATTTGGTACCTACAGTGCCACAACCAATCTGATTTCAAAGGGGGACCCGCGCAGTGGGTAGAAATAGAAGATAAAAATTGAATTGTCTTCAAAATGCCCACAAGAGAATGAGAAAACAAGGTGCTAGGTGCTGCGGTTTATAGGTGAATGTCAGTACCTCAGTAAGTGCTAGAAAACTTTGCTTTGGAAAAAATGTACATCCTTATATTTGACTGTAATTTTGGCCTTGTTCCAGTCACTATTTACCCACGGGTACCCCTGTGTGTTGTTTGGGCCTTAGAGGAGTCTGCCTTTCAGGTTTATACATCCAATTTAGACAATTTGGATTTCAAAATCCAGTTTGTGAAGCCTGGGTTTGAATTCCTGCTTGGCTTTAGAGCAGAATTTCCCAGGCAAATTAAGAAAATCTCGGCTTCTTCATTTGCAGCCTGGTCGAACTAAATTCGGAATGATCATGTGTATTACTCACCCCTTGAATTGTGTCAGCTACATGAATCATCTTTTCTGCTTGGGACCAGATTGCTGATGCACCCACAAAAAGACTTTAACAGGTTTGACAGCGTGCAAAAAATAACATTATTGGTAATTGATGGTGTTGCTCTCGAGTATTTGTGGAGTGGGAGCAAAAACCATCTAGATTTTGGTGTTAGCTGCATTAAAACCAGCTCAAAAGCAGCATTATTTTCCCTCGATATCCTCTTTCCTTCCTTTAAAGGGTTTGAATGTCAAGAGATTGCTGCTGCAGCCTGGAAATGCTGCAGCGATGGTGACGTTTCCTAACACATCTCAGTTTCTGCTCTGTGTAGAGGCAGATGTGAACCCTGCACATGAGCTGCTCATGTGGAGGCCCAGTAATTAATTGGCAGAAAAACGACTAATTTCTTACGCAAACAAAAATACTGCTGGTTAATGCAGTAGGTTGGGAGCTAGAGTCTATACTTTCCTGCAYGGTTGCCGTAGGAAATCTGGTTCATTTGCACAGCAGGGAGCAAAATCTGCTTGTTTGGGGTATATTTGCTAACTCTGAGCCAATCAGTTGGTACTTATATCTCAATATCATCAAGCAATCACGTTTCAAGCTCTTGCAAGCAGGGAGGTGTTTCTGTCTACTAGTAATTGCCCAGAAATGACTTTATACAATTAAGCCTCTGGATGGCCTGGATATCTGAGCAATTTAAGTAAAACACAACTGAAATGTCCTGGATATCTGAGCGATTTAAGTAAAACTCAACTGAAACCAAACTCTTTACCTGCCTGCAGAGACCATGACCGCTCGCTGCGGCAACAGTGGACGCTGTCAGAGCGTCCACATGTTATGAGTGTTTTGGATCATCAGATGGCAATACTATTTATGCCACCAGCTTCAGCGAGCGTAACCAGTTTAGGAATAAAATGCAGTTGCCTCCATCCCCACCCTGGGTGTGGAAATGGGC